GCTCAAGTAACCATCCCTAAACCCATGAGCTGTAGCCAGAACCAGGTGGTAGATTCAGGCTCCTACAGGCATGCATGAGTATTGAGAGCCACGTGTGGTTGGCAGTTTCTAGAGAAAGGAGACTGGCATTTTCTGAGAGTTTCTGGAACATAAGATGGTTCCCCAAGGGCTACTCTTTTCTACCTTAAATGTTCCCCCTAGTGTTGGTGTTCTCCAGTTCTCTGACCAGCTCTTTTCCCTGTATTTCCTCTACCTGTGCATCCTGACTCCTGACAACCTCAGGAGAAAGAGAGAAGCTTTGGGCAGGAGGAGATTGGGTAGATCCTTGGTCAAAGGCACTGCCTTTCTTGAGATTTAGTTCCTGTTCCCCCAGGAACTCTCTTGTCCCTCAGGAATTGTGTCCCTTTGAAACTCTTCCTTCCTACATAAAGCAAACAAAATGCTCAAACACTGGGTTGGTAACTCTGTTTAAACACAGTGCAAGCCATATTATCTCATTTACTTTCTTTGCAATCCTCTGGGGAAGGTATTATCATCATTGCACAGATGGGAGTGAGATTTGCCCCAGCGAAGTAATTTTCCAGGGTCACCACTAGTAAATGGCAGAGTTGGAATGTGAACTCATCTTTTGATGCAAGTCTGATTTTCTCAACATGCAACTTAAGAAACAGAAAAAGATGTAAAGAATAAAATAATGAATATTAATTTAACCACCTCCTGACCAAGCAGTACAATGTTATCAGCACACTTGAAGCCCCCTGTCTCTTTTCACAAGGCATAACTCCTATTCTAAATTCAAGGGTTATCATTTGTATGTATGTATATGTACATGTGTACTCCTAAATTTAAAATATAGTAGCATACTGTGTGCTTTATTATACACTTTGATTTTTCTATTTTTCTACTAAGCGCTTTGTGTAGATTCATACAGGTTTGAATAATTTTTTGGTTCTTACGTGTTAGAGAATTTATGGTGAAATAATGTGATGTCTGGGGTTTGCTTTAAAATTCTTCAATTTTAAAATGTTGAAGGATATCTCAAAAATAGCAAAATGCTGATAATAGTTAAGCTGGATGATGTATACCTTCTCTCCTTTCTTGTGTATGTTTGAAATTTTTCAAAATAAGATCTTTTGAAAGTAGAAATCTTCACAGAATGAAATAGCACAAATAGCTCTAAGAATTATTTCTAATGGTGAATCAATTAGTCTCTGAAAAGAAAAAAGAAAGAAAGAGGCCCTGGCTGCTATCACCTGAGAGCTGAGCTAGCTTAAGCAGGCTATTTGCTTCTTCATTTGAACACGATTTCACATATCAGCACCATCAGACTGGGCCACTCTGTGTACACTGTGAAAGAAGACAAAAAAACACACCATAACCTTGTCTGAGAACAGACACCAATCAACGAGAACTCTGTCCAAACCACAAAAATGACCTCACAACTCCCTCTCCCAGCTAATCTGAGCAACTGCCACATCTTTAGTAATGACAGCTTCAGCAGCTGTCCATCAGCCTCCTGGATGAGCATTATTCTGATACCTGTCATAGAATTACCCCAGCTTTCTACCAGCACCTAATTTGGCGTGGGTTCAACTGCATCCCTCAAAAACACATTCAAGGCCTAATGTCTGGTGACTAGACCTGATTTGGAGACAGAGTCTTTACAGATGTAACCCAGTTAATATGAGGCCATATGAGAATTGGATGGGTGCTAATCCAACGATGGGCAACCTTATAAGAAGAGGGCAATGCAAATATAGACAGAGAGAGAAGAGGGCTACATGAAGACTCACAGCAGGCAGAGATCAGAGTGGTGCAGTACCAGCCAAGGAACACCAAGGACTGCCTGCAACCTGTGGAAGCTGGGAAGAGGCAAACAGGAACCCTCTCCCAGACCCCTCAGAGCAAGCATGTCTTTGACAACACCTTGATTTCAGACTTGTTGCCACTAGAACTGAGAAAGAATAAATTTCTGTTGCTTTAAGTTTATGACAATTTGTCGCAGCAATCCTAGAAAACTAATATACAAAGTAAAACCCTTCTTCATTAAATCTTCCCCAAAATTCCCTAATACAAGCCCCAAACCTATAACAAGCCCTCCTAATGTCCTTCTACTGAAACAACCCATTGTTCCCTCATGGTTCTCATGATTCCCCACAGTGTGGCCTTACTTGTTGGAGCAAATAATAAACCCAATTGTGTTTGACTATAAGTGTGTTTCTAGTTATCTTTGGCTTACAGGTATCATCCTGTCCTTCATGTTTGTTGAAAGCAAAGAATTGGAAACTACCTGATTGATAAAAGTATTTGATATGGAGTCATTGTAACCAGTTCTTTGTTCAAGATCAGTATTTGAAATTTCTCCTTTGTTTGGCATCCTGGAGGTTTTTGCATCCAGGGGCCATGTACCATAGTAAGATTTGGTTTGGATGACAGCAGGGCTGCTAGTGGCATCTACTGAGCCTTTGTTCATGGGGCACATGACTTGGTGAATAAAGCCATGTGAGGGCCCCACTCTCCTCCTCAGCCAGGCACAAGCTATACAATCAGGAGTAGCAGCAAAAAAGGGCCATTGTGAAGGACCAACATGACCACAGGCATGTTCTCAAGGAGGTAATTTTAGCAAAGAGACTGTATCAAATATAATGACATGGAATTTTCTTTGTTACTTCCTTTAAAACTGCCCATCCACAAGTATCCCTTGGAAAGTCTTCATGTACCCAGGAACTGTGCATACCCTAAGTATAAAGACCACTGCTTGGTAATATGGAAGAGTTTCTCCACACTGTGGAATACAAGCTTGGTCTTTAGTCATGTCCATTCTCTCATTCAGTGCATCCAGTTAATTTTTAATTATCTTTACCATATCACTATTAATTTCCAGGGACAGTTTCTGTTTCTTATCTCTGACTAATTCCTTTCTTATTTTAGGAATCCAATTTCCTCTCAAGTCTCTCTGAGAATTCCATTAGAATTTCTTTTTGATTTCTCTTCTGTTCCCTAAATTATCTCCATTTTCTCCCAGGTTGCTTATTCAGTTCATTCTCCTCATTTCTTCTCTTTCTTGTTGTTGATTTTCCCCCAAATATCAGTTTTCTCCACTTATTGGTTTATAGGTATTATTAGTATGGATGAAAAACTAACTTGATTAGTGTAAACAGTTGTTTCCCCAAAATGCTCCTTTCTTAAATGAAAGAGCTCTGTGGGGATATAGAATGTGTGGGCAACAGGCTTCCTTCCCCATAGAGTGTGTGGGCCTGGAACAGCCAGAAAACCAGAAAGTCCCCATTAAATGCCATTAGATTTTTCTTCTAAAATAGTACATTCGGTGGGTTTCACTTTTGGATGGCGTGGTCTTTCTTTTTTATTATCTTTGAATCTCAGTGACTGAAGTGGAAGCCTAGAATCATGTTTCTCTTCCTGTCTGATTTTTCTTATCCTCCAAGACTAATTCCTTCTCCCAATATCTCCTAACATTGCCTCAAGCAGATCTACCCCTTTGTCTATAAGGGAGTCCTTTGTTTTAGCCAAGTCAGCACTAAAATCTCAAGATCCCTTGTTTGCTCTACCTAGGTTTAGCAGGAAGGAAGGACAGAGAAAAGAGGGACCTGTAAATCTGATCAACCTGATCAAACTGTCGATCTTTGACTACTTCCCAAAGATGGCCCAAGGGCTTTTGTCTGTTTCCCTTGCATGCATGTATTGACATTGCATGTGTTGCAACGTGCATATATTGATGCTGAGTTTGGACTTTCTTGGAGGCCTCACTGAAGGGAATTCTCTGGTAATGTGGAGCTACAAGTTTTCCTTCTCAGAGAAGCTGGGCAATCTTTTTCCATGTACTCTCCATCTTTCAGCAATCTTTTTTCAAAAACTTCCTTCATGCTGCTCATTTCCCTTGCCAATATGTTTTATCAGGTGGGGACAGGTACACACATAGACAAAAGAGCTTTGTTGTCTATTATTTGTGGGAATGAGAGAAGAAAGAGAAGTAGCAGTGTATGCTCATTTGACCACGTTGAAACAGAGAAACCACTAGGTCTATTTTTAAAGACATAGACTTGGGACAGCACCTGTGGCTTAAAAGGGTGGGGCGCCGGCTCCATATGCGGGAGGTGGTGGGTTCAAACCCAGCCCTGGCCAATACTGAAAAAAAAAAAAAAAAAGACATAGACTTGTAGTATAATACAATATTCATATGAATGTTTAGCAAGTCCTTAAAGAAATTCTACACTTTTTATCCAATGTACTCAATACTAATGTAAAACCAATACATAAATAACTACACACCCACATGGAAGACAAACACAAGTATATTCTAGTGGAGAGGGGGAGAGAAGGAGGGGGAGTGGTTGGTGGGATCTCATCTAATGTGCACAATGTGAGGGTGTTCAGCATGCCCTCTGGGTAAAGGGCTCAACTACAACTTGAACTTTATCTTAGGAATGAAAGCAATGTAACCTAAACATTTGTGCCCTCATAACAATCTGAAATTTAAGATAAGAAAAGAAAAGAAATTCTACACTTTAGATGCCAGGAATACATCTTTATTGTTCTCTACCATAAGGATCCTGCCGTAGAAGGTAAGGACCCTGCCTTCACCTGTGTGCTGTGCCTTCTGCTCACCTGTGTGCTGTCTACCATCTGCCTCCTAAAGACAATGAAAGTTTCCATTAGTCTTTTTCTTTTCAGTTTGGTAATCCCTTAAGTTTGCCTGTTCCATGTTTTAGATTCTTTGAGAACCTGTCAAGAATTTGCAGAGGTAAATAAGTGGAGGTTATGGAAATGAAGGAAAATTGGTCAGATTGTCATTTCACTTAAAAATAAAATTAGATTCAAATCACTTACAGAGAGGCAAAAAGATAGAGCCCAGTATTCACATAAAACTATTGCTTATTTGCAAATGCTACCTCTTTTCTCTTTAACAGTTCAACTCAAAATTTAACTGTAGAAGGAGCTGATAATGAATACAAAGCTAAATGGCTTTATTTTGATTTCAGATGATGGGCCGCTTCTTCAGTGGCTTGGCACAGTCAGGGGCCTGGTGCTGCTTTGACGAATTTAATCGCATCGACATAGAAGTTTTGTCAGTCATTGCACAGCAACTCATTACCATTAGAAACGCCAAAGCTGCAAAGGTAAGGCAATGGGCAACTGAACTCACAATGTTGCATTTTTAAAAGGACAATGCTAATTAATTTTAGCCTGTCTAGTTCATGTGTTCAGTATAATTGGTGGGCACTACACCAACAGGACTCACTGGGTGATTTAGTTCCTTATCTAAGCAACACAGAGAAAGAAGTACGTGTCCCTGTGCTGTGCTGGCCCTGGGGATAGAGATTGTGAGACTCAGTTCCTGCCTTCAAGGAACACTGTTCTTCCCATCCTGAAAGACACACACACGTACACAGTCGTCACACACACATGCAGTCACGCACACACACACCCTGTCCCTCTGCACTCCACCTCCCGTTGTCCTCCCTACCTCTCTTGTTCCTGCTTTTTGGCATTTACTTCTTTGTTAGTTTTCCTAACATTGGTTCTTGCAGCTCCAATGCCTTTATCATGGCCCCCAGTTTCCACCTACTGCTGGTGGGAAAATCAAGGAGGAGTCCTGGGGAACCCAAGGGAAGCTTGGCTCTCCAGAACTCACTGGACTGAAAATTTAAGATAAGCACATCCCTGAAGAAAGGATATTCAGAAGCTGATGGCAGTGAAAGATGGGACCAATCCCTACAATTCTGTTAAGACCTTCTGAGATTGTTCAGCAATGGCCAACAGTGGTGTTCAGCATTTACAAACCAGAACAGCCACTGCCCTGAGCCCCTCAGGAGCCAGTACTACTTCCTTGGCCCCTTTCAGAAGAGCCCCAGACCTCCCTAGATCCATTAATAATGGATTCAGCTCCAGCTCCAGGAGCAGAAGCCATCTCATTAGGAGGTGCCCTGATTAAGAGTTAAATATTTGGAGGATTATCATGTTGGCAAAAAAGCAAAATATAAAACAAACAAAAAGCATGAATTGGACTTTGATGAGCTGCTAGATCGTACAAGTCATTGTTACATATGCTTACAACTTTACAGCAAACCTATGAAAAGTATATGTTATCATCCCAAACTTATAGGTTAAAAAGATGCAAAAGAAGGTAAAAAACATTTCCATAGACACTATAGAACCAAGATACACACTGAAATCTGTGGGACCCCAAAGTCTGAGCTCCTTCATCTGTCCTCCCACCTTCTTCCTCCCACATACTCTGGGGAGGCCTATATTAAATACAAGGACCTCAAGATGTAGCTTAATTTGTAAGTCATTATCAGTGTGTTGGGCAGTTAGCTGAGAGCAAAGTGTGGGAAGTAAGGAGGCAGAGACCAGAGAGAATAGAAGGAGGACTGAGACATGAACAGCTACAGGGTAGCACTGTGAGGGCAGAAAAAGATAGGAGAGCCTCTGAGATTGACCAGCTTTGTCCTCAAGATGCCAGTGACCAGAGGAGACAGTTGGAGTAGAATATATAGATGAAGGTACTAAAAAGTAGAAATGGGGAAATTTCCAGCATGTGCAGGCAGTTAGCAGCAGTGGGACCTGTCTCTGGTTGCACCGCCCAGCATTCTCTCCTCCAGACTGTGACAGCTTGCCCAGCTCCATCCTGGTCTTCCCCTATATTTTTCATTTCTGTTAATAGCACCTCATCCAGTGGCCTAAATAGAAAGCTGAAATTCTCCTTAGATTTGACTCCCTACTATCACTCTATCAATCCCAGAACCTAAACCATCACCAAATCCTATGATTTTTTCCTGCTAGATGTCTCTCTTCGCCACATACCTTTAGAGAATTCTGGCTGTCATCACCCTAGTGACATTTCCTTACTGATCTTCCTGTCCATAGTTTGTCCAACCCCTCCACTGCCCTTTGACCCTATCACTCTGCTCAAAAGTCTTCTCTGTTTCCTTCCAACCATGGGAAAAAATCTAACTTCCTCAGCTTGATGTACAAGACTGGCCTTGCTACACTTTCTCTATGGAACTTCCCCTTTAGCAAACAGAATTACCATTCATGCCTCGAACATAAAGTGTTGTTTCTTGCTTCTGTTCCTTTTGCAGAGTGGCTGCCCCTGTTTATGTACCTGAAATGTTCCTCTTCATGCTTCAGGTCTCAATCAGGCTTCCCGCTCCCCCCATGGGCTTGGCACACACCTCCACCATAGCATCTCCTGCACTGTGCACTCAGGGTTTCCAGGCTGATTGCAACAGCAAGCCCAGTGGCTTGTTGAGGGCTAGAGATTGAGTCTCCCTCAGCTCTGTGCCTCCACACCTAGCCTAGTGCTTCCCCTACAGCAGGTGCTCTACAGCATTTGCAATTCAGTAAAAGTGAAGGGGTAATGCCAAAGACAGTGACAGTGGGGACTTAACCAGCCAAGGAGTGAGTCTAGACTGGGATTTGGGGGGAATATCAGAAAGTGGGAGTAGAGATTTAGTGGTCGTTAAGTCCCAGGTGAACTGTAGAGGCTCAGCAAGAGATACTGAGGCCTAGAAGATTTTAGCACTGGGCCAGGAAGGAAGAGACAATTTGGTCAAGGTAGGGTCAGGAGGAAGGAAACGCTGCACCCAGAAGAGATTAGAAATTGTCAGGACACTCAGGAGAGGAACATTCCCTATTGTCCAACAGCAAGATTCAGCAGACTTTGCCTCAATGTTCCTTTATGTGAGTTATGTTTCTAAATAATTATGTGAAAGAATTTACTAATGTCTAGAGGAGTATTAACTTACACTTTGTCTTTGGACAGCTCTATAGATTCATGTTTGAGGGGCGGGAAATAAAGTTGGTTATGACTTGTGCAGCCTTCATCACAATGAATCCTGGATATGCAGGCAGAACTGAATTGCCAGATAATTTAAAAGCCCTATTTAGACCATTTGCAATGATGGTTCCAAATTACGCCTTGATTGCAGAGGTGAGCTTCACTTTATAAAGCAGCAAAAGCACAAGGTTGTTTCTTTTATTTACCATTTGATTCTATAAAGGTAGGAAGATTCCTTTAGGAATCCACCCTAATAATGGTTACAATGATTGTTTGCTCTTATATGTAGATGTAATTGTTATCACGTAGCACATTTCCTTCTGTGTGTGTGTTTGTCACTGTTACTATATCCATAATGCCCAGACTGGTATCTAATATAATAGGCTCCTAAAACTAGAAAGAATCACTGAGGTTAGTTAACAAGTTTGTTGAGGTTGATCAATTCATCTCTAGGAATTAAAATGTCTTAATTAGTTCTAATCAAGGGAAGGAAAGGGGAGGGGAGAGGGAGAGGGAAGGAAAGGGAAGGGAAGGATTATTCTCACTTCTCTTTGCACATTTTTATTAAAGCCAAGTGATGTTGAGTAGAAGCAGTACTAATCATTAAGATGGTGAGCACAGATGGATTTGTAAATTTGTATCAACTTAATCAAATATAGTAACTATCTACGAATTATTTGTGATTGTGTTTGGTTTTTTGTATCTACCTAAGAATCTTTCTATTTAAACTGTCTTTAAGTGGCCAATGATTTAAATACTGAGAATCAATGTATTTGAATTTTACATTTTTTTCCTTTTCTTAGTTTTTATTAAGTTTTTTTTGTTGTTTTTTTTTTTTTGAAACAGAGTCTCACTTTGTTGCCCCCAGTAGAATGCCATGGCATCGTAGCTCACAGCAACCTCAAACTCTTGGGCTTAAGCATTTCTCCTGCCTCAGCCTCCCAAGTAGCTAGGACCACAGGTGCGCACCACAAAGCCTGGCTATTTTTTACAGACGAGGTCTTGCTCTGACTCAGGCTGGTCTTGAACCTGTGCACTCAGGCAATCCACCTGCCTTGGCCTCCCAGAGTGCTAGCATTACAGGCGTAAGCCACTGTTCCTGGCCAGCTCTTGTTGAGTTTTTTTAAGAGATAGAGTCTTAGTATCAACTTTAACTCCTGGGTTCAAGTGACCTTCCTGCCTCAGCCTCCTACAGATGTGTACCACTACACCTGGCTAAATTTTGCACATATTTTTCATGGTGTTTTTTGCTGAGATATAACTTATATATGGTAAAATGTACAGTTCATAAGTGTGCAGCTTAGTGAATGCTTATACATGGATTGATTTGTGTGAACACCAAGACCAAAATACAAGGCATATTCTGGGCTCCAGATTGCCCCTTGTGCTCAGTGCTGCATTTCATAACAAAGGATCCTGCCTGTTTTAGAATGGAATTTCTCTCAGAAGGCACAGATCACCCTTTTGGCTAATAAATTCTTTTGATAACAGCTAATTTTAAATATTTTTCTATATGAAGTAAAAACATTTGCTTAGGATAGAATAAATCATGCCAAATCTTATCATTAGAAAAATGACAATTTATATTAGTTTAATTCTCAAAGCATCTCATGGGTCCTCCAGCACCCCATGCAGGAGGACAGTTAAGGCAGGCAGTGTCTTTACCCTTGACATTCTCTGGGAACAGGGACAATAAATAACTTGCCCAGTGTCCCAAACTAGTAGAAAGAAAGCCAGGTGTAGAAGCCAGTCTGGCACACTGTTGACATTTCATGCTTTGTTCCTATTGTTACGTTACTCAATAATGAACTGGAAAATTTTGAAATCCAGTCTTCTGAGGGCTCTCCTTATTGATGTTAGAGACTGAATGAACCAGGTTCTGCTGTCAGTAAATATTTGTAACTGCCTACTGCATGCAGAGCACTCTGCTAACCAGTAGGATAGAGCAGTAAGCAAAATCGACAACAATGAGAAATCTGTATATCATTTCAAATCCTGCTTCTGGGGTCAACTGAATTGTATCAGGCAGACTATAGATAGAAGGAAAGTTCCTCTCTTACCTCCACTGTCAAAGACACTAGACATCATTTAACTAAGGATGCAGAAACTTGTCAGAACAAGGGCAGAGGAGAAGCTTTGCCTCTTTGCATAGCCTCCCTTGCCTCCTAGGAACCTAAAAAAGCAAATGGCAGTCACTGATGCTGTCCACTAGGGTGGCATTCCTGTCAGATTGGAGAAGCTAAATTCTTGCTTTTGTACTCAGGCCTTATAATACCATCCAGCCTCGGCTCGGTGCCTGTGGCTCAAGCGGCTAAGGCGCCAGCCACATACACCTAAGGTGGCAGGTTCGAATCCCCAGCCCGGACCCGCCAAA